CAACTCCCAGAGTTCCCCAGCCAGCATGGCTGGCTGGGGAACTCTGGGAGTTGAAGTCCACACATCTTCAAGTTCCCAAGGTGGTGGTTGTTCAGTCGTTAAGTTGTGTCTGACTCTTTGTGACCCCATGAACCATATCGCACCAGGCCTTCTTCTCCTTCACTGCCTCCTGGACTTTGCTCAGTTTCATGCTCATTGCTTCAGTGATTCTATCCAACCATCTCATCCTCTGCTGTCCCCTTCTCCTTTGGCCTTCCATCTTTCCCAGCATCAGGGTCTTCTCCAAAGAATCCTCTCTTCACATCAGGTGGCCAAAGTATCTGAGCTTCAGCTTCAGTATCAGTCCTTCCAATGAGCTCCCAAGGTTGAGAAACACTGAATTAGACCCTGAGAACCATTCCTGGGGTCTTATTGATGACTTCCAACCTTCATCGCAAGTAGTATAATCAAATTGAGTAACTCTTCCCCCTCTCTAAAGTTACAAACATTTCTCTCTTCATCCCATATCCCATCTCTTATCTATAGACAAATCCATAAAATATCATCTTTTTATTTCTGGCTACCCTTTATGGACTTTCTGCTGGCACCAGCACTGAAAAGATGATGTTTTATGGATTTGTCTATAGATAAGAGATAGGATATGGGATGAAGAGATAAATGTTTGTAACTTTAGAGAGGGGGAAGAGTTACTCAATTTGATTATACTACTTGCGATGAAGGTTGGAAGTCATCATATAAGACCCCAGGAATGGTTGTAATTCACTCCCTCCACCCATTAAAAGTATTTCCATTAGTAACCAGGGTGTGGATTGGTTTTGCACACTGCCCAGGATCTGTTGGAGTTGGGCGGCTATCACAAATTTGAATGAATGAATCAATACCTAATAAAGGGACAAGCAACTTGGGGAACTAGAAGACTGCAAATGAGTTTACCTGCAGCTTTTAGATGTCTCCTGCATCTTGACAGGTTGTGTGAACCTTATGGCTTCAGCCATGAAAGGGTTGGCTGTCGGGGCGGTGCCTGTTACATAAACATGGCTGCTTTGTAGTTTGGACCCCTCAACTCAGCTTTTGGGGTTTAGGGTGATGGAATGACTGTGCCATTTGGAGGGCCCCCCATTGGGAAAAATGAAAACAGCTTGGGGGAGCCGTTTCCAGATTGAAGCAGCAGCTGAAAACAGTAAAGAGAAATGAAGCGGTGCAGAGGAATACTGCAGAAGGGGGACAGTTGGCCACCCTGGACTGGCGCTGGCTTACTCTCAATTTTCCCATCAGGTGCGTTTTGCCCAACACCAGCCTGAAAAAGCATCATCAACTGCCTGCACCCCTTGGAGGGCTTCCCGAACCTTCAGAGCCATTGCAATCAGAAAGCTTTGCCTCCCCAGAGGATGTGTGAGTGGGTGGAGGAATCTTCCTTTGGTAGCCCATCTCGTCTCCCTCCTTCCACATCCTGCTCGCTGAACATTGCTCATATCCCAGATGGTTTGGCATGGCTCCCCGTATCTCCTGGTGCTTCAAAAGAGCCCGTTGTCTCTTCTAAGTAACGCACTGCAGTCCATTAGGGCTGCTAAATGCCTTGCCCTTGTTTTTGGCCCCAGCCCCACTCCCCATCTGGAATCAATACAGAGAGGGTGTGCTTCTGCTGCAGAGGGCATGCTAGCACAGCTTGGACTTGTGGGGGTCGCCCCCAAGGGACCTCTGCCTCCTTTTCAGCATCCCACACAAGTAAGATTATCCAAGCAATCAAGGAAGCCCTGTGGCGTCACCATCACCGCAAGAGGTTGGCTATATTCCAAGCAGGATGCCCAGGAAGAATGAGGTTCTCATCCCAAATTCTAGACCTGCAGGGCTCACATCTTATGTTACACCACATCACGGTTTGTCTGTTTGTGGCTTATCATCCTCCATAAATGCAAAGCTGATGTTGGTAAGCCACAGTATATGGCTGGATGTGTTGAGGAAGCTCAACCAATTGTGGATTTATCTCCTCAACCATGGTTAAGGGAACTTGTCATATTGGAGCATAGACAATCTGTCAATTACAGAAGACAGGGTTGGTTATAACAATAACCCATGGTCATTGTGCTAGAAGGTCACTGTCCTATATTTATACCCCATCTTTCTACTCTGGTGAATATTCAGGGTGATGAGGAAAGCTTAACACTGACAACAACAGAACATTCAAAGTTGAAAACACAGATGAAAATAACCACTAAAACAAGCACTAAGAGCAGCCTGAAACATGATACATCTTTACAGCTTGTCTAAACAGATGGATCATCAAGCAAACCAATCCAGAGTTGTCCCTCAAGACAAAACAAATGACCAGGCTCAAATTATCTTATTTTGGACACAATATGTGAAGACCCAGCTTCCTTGAGAAGTCTATAATTCAGGGTAAAGTGGAAGGAAAGAGAAGGGGACGATCAGCAGCAAGGAGGGTGGACTCAGTTACAGTGGTGATTCAGGCACCGTTGGGAGACCTGAAGGACCAGTTTAGGGACAGATCATCCTGGAGAAGGTCTGTCTATGTGGCTGCTAAGAGTTGGCCTCAATTTGATGGCACTCAAACAACCCAATCAAACTCCCAAGGAAGCCATGTAGGAAAAGGCCATCGTTATATGAATGCTTTTGGAGGAATCAAGATGGTACACCCGAGCAAATGTCCTCCAGACTCACAATAAGAACTTTTCTTGGGCTCACCCATCCCAGAGAATCCAGGCTACAAGATGCCATAGCTAACACCATGCCCCTGGGCTCTTGGCACAGAGGTGGACAAGTTCTGTTGGCTTGAAGGCCACACCTGGCTTTGTGTGGCCCGTTGAGGGCCACTTCCCTCCCATCTCAACTGATGGAACTGTTCTGTCATGTTCAAAGAAACAACTGTTTTGGTAGAGCATCAGCCCATCCTGCGCAGTAGCTTTAGGCTGTTTTTGTGAAGGACTCACAACTCCTCGGCAGGTGGCTGATAACAAACTGTTTATAGGCAAAGCCCTAACTCAGGGACCAAACCCTGATCAACAGGGAGGAATGAGCCAAGCCAAGAGTTCAAAAGGTGAAAGACACTTGGGCAGACCCCCCACCCCACCCCCGTTGTAATGCCCTGAAGGCGTTTTGCAGAGTTATCTCTCCAGACAGACATAATGGGGAGGGCACTTGCAACGCCCTCTCTTAAGCACATATATGAAACACCAACCAAGAACTAAGTAGGACCTCAAGAAGAATGTAGCATCTTCTCAACCTCTCCCCACCACCAGCTGTGCTCTAAAGTGGGTAAGATTATGCATACACTGGTGTGGGATTATACTGAAAGTTGAGGCTTAAAATTTATAAGCTGGTGCAGTGTTGAAGCTCCTTTTGAGTGTATATTTTTGTTATTGCACAGTTTTGCCATCTTTTTGCTCCTTCGTTATTGGTATATGGTTTTAATGCTATTTTTCTGTGTTTTTGACATTGTGAACCGCCCAGAATCACTGGGAGTTGGGAGGATAATAATAATAATAGTAATAATAATAATGTGTTTGCAGGTATAAACAGAGGGAAACTGCAGAATAGGCAGGACAGGTTGTTACATGATCATCTGCGCTTTCCGGTGTCCAACACAACTCTCATGAGCCAGAAAAAGTTTGAGCCACATTAGATATTTCTAACCCCTTCCCCACCCTGACATTCTCCAGATAATAAACTATACTTCCCAGAATTCCCAGCCTGCTTGGCCACATGCCTCCACTGGCATCTCCTTCGTAGTTCCCAAAGCTCCCTCTCCCAAAAGGGGCCAAAATATTGGATGTTTTGGGGAGGTTAGGAGCAAAATGCCTTAAGTCTTGTGTGCTTAAAGAACCCATTTAATCCTTAAAAATCCAGACCCCCCCCCCCAAAAAAAGGCTGTAGTGTCACTTTGTGGTCTAATGATCCACCTCTTCTCAGTCTCCATGTGGGGTGATCACTGAGGACTAGAGTATTTCATGGATAAGTCACTCCAAGACAAGACGCTTCACAATAGAAGCTTCCTGTGGGACGCAATCTTCAGTTGCTGTTGTTGTTTAGTCGTTAAGTCGTGTCCGACTCTTCGTGACCCCATGAACCATATTGCGCCACGCCTTCCTGTCCTTCACTGCCTCCCTGAGTTTGCTCAGTTTCATGCTCATTGCTTCAGTGATGCTCTAACCATCTCATCCTCTGCCGTCCTCTTCTCCTTTTGCCTTCAATCTTTCCCAGCATCAGGGTCTTCTCCAAAGAGATCTCTCTTCGCATTAGGTGACCAAAATATCTGAGCTTGAGCTTCATTATCGATCCTTCCAATGAGCAATCAGGGTTGATTTCATGCTCTAACCATCTCATCCTCTGCCGTCCTCTTCTCCTTTTGCCTTCAATCTTTCCCAGCATCAGGGTCTTCTCCAAAGAGATCTCTCTTCGCATTAGGTGACCAAAATATCTGAGCTTGAGCTTCATTATCGATCCTTCCAATGAGCAATCAGGGTTGATTTCCTTTAAGATTGACTGGTTTGACCTCCTAGCAGTCCAGGGAACTCTTAAGAGTCTTCTCCAGCACCACAGTTCAAAGGCATCAATTCTTCGGCGCTCGGCCTTTTTTATGGTCCAGCTCTTGCTTCCATATATGGGGTAGTTAATGCCCTTTCAGGGAAAAAGCCATGAGACCTAGTTCATTAGAATATTATTCCTCCTTTAGTGAAAGCTTAACAAAAAGAATCAAATGTGTTCCAGAAAGGTAAAATGAGAAAATAAGGCACCATGTAACAATTAGCAAGCTTTGATACTACATGCTAGCTCAGTGTTTCTCAACCTTGGCCACTTTAAGATGTGTGGACTTCAACTCCCAGAATTCCCCAGCCAGCATCGCCAAAGGCTGGGGAAGAGCCAGGTTTTAACCAGTTGTCTTTAGAATCAGGATTTACCTTGGTTAGCACCAGGACAGAAGACCATCAGGCCAGCCCAGAGCTGTAGACTGAGAAGTAAACAACAGCAACACAGAAGAAAGCAATGGAGACTTATTGTCTCCAAGAAAATTGCACAGACTGGTCTTTATCTTACAACTCAAATCGATTTCTTACCAGAGCACAAATCTCATGGCTTTATGACTTACTGTGATGCCAACCTGACCCACTTGGGGTTTGTCCACAAAACCCTGATTCAAGGAACCAAGGCTTAGCCCAACATATGAATCTAATCCACGTGTCTACACAATTCCTAGTAGAAGCTCATCTATTTTCCTGAGGACCTTCTTCCTAATTTCAACCAGCTTCTGCAAAACATGACTTCAGCTCTTTGGCTGGAGCGCCTGTTCTTCCAGGACCTCTGTGGGAAAGGTGGGGGAGGAAGGCAAGAGAGAAAAAGAGGGAGAAGATGGGAAGTCTCACCTCCTTTGGTTTTGCCCTACCCACTGTAGCTCTGGTTCCACCCATCACCAGCTGGTGGCCCTTGCCAGGTTATTCCCAACAGAAGAAGATCCCCCCCCCCCCCATCCTTGCAGGTTACACTGGTCTTCATGGCCCAACTGCTTCTTTTAATTACACCCATTCAGCTGTATTACTGTTAGGGGAGTATCCCCCTTCGTAGACCTAGAATAAAATAGCACTGTGCCTTGTGGAAATTGGGAAGGGAGGTTGCCAATCATTCATGGCAACTCCCTATCAAGTGACAATCCTTTGCCTTGCATTGTCCAGCTAATAATCCGAAATAAATCAATGTTTCCCTCTTGCTTTCAAGTGATGTTGTTTGAGACAATGAAGAATGTAAATGGCTTCTAGGTGATCTTAAATTATTCAATTTTTTCTTTTTGGTTTTAAAAAGTATCTCACTCGACTCTTATTCCTACTTCTCGGATGGGGCCCTAATTTTATGATCCGTTGGGTGATCTCCTTTAAATTTGCAAGCGTCCATCAAGACACAAGAAGGTCCTTATATGGAGCTCCCAGAAAGGCTGATACACCTGAGCCTTTGCATATAAATGGCAAAAGAAGTGCTAAGAGAGACAGATAATAGCAATTAAAAGGGAACTTCTGGCCCTCTCCAGTTCCCGTAGACAGTACACCTTTACGGCTTAATTCTTAATTACTCAGAAGCAAGTCATACCTCAGCAGATGCTGGATACATAGATGTCAACCTCACAGTGGTTCCAGGAAAAGTAACACAATAGAAATAAATAATAAATAAACAACAAGATAATTGCATAATAAGAAATTCTTACTTTTCTAGGTTGGACATCACCCAACCCTGCAGTGTTTTGGATACACTGAGAACATCCATAAGCAAGTGGAAATTGGTGGTACCAGTCTAATTGCTTGTGTGAACAGGATTTTTCATACTCCACCCTGCTTCCCCCATTATTGCTGGTCATGGTGGCTGGGGTACTGGAAGTTGGACTGCAACATATCTAGAGATTATCCAGTGCTGCTCACCCTAAAAGTAATATTTTGGAGGATGAATGGAGATGCCATTACACTTTTCCACATTTTTTATTTTTTTATTTTTAAAAAATAATACACTAATCATATGCCATGACTTTAGGCCAAATGGACCCAAAATGGGCATAGATTTTGAGGGGCTTTTTGGTACATAACTGGTTTATGATGGCATTTCAACTGTTGGTGACAACAAGGGTATTTGAGACTTTCTGTCCCTGGAATCCCCCAGGGTCTCTCCTATAAAAATCCCCATGGTTGCAATTTCAATACTTCTAGTTCACTACCAGACTTGAGCTGGGGGCCCCCTAGGGTAAAAGCACCACACACACACACACACCCCACTGGGTGCAAACGAACAATGCTGTTAAAGCGCCACCACGCAAACCGACCCAGGGATATTTTTGAGAGGAGATCGGTAAGCGAGTTTTAGAGACGCAAAGCAGGTTCAGCGTCGCACATTGTGGAACTAGCGTTTCTATCAGCCGGGACCAAGCGGCCACTGGCGGGATCCGCACCCCAACCGATTTCTAAGCAACTCCCCGGGAGGATCCTCGGGCCGGCTCCAAGCGCCGGATCGCCTTCGCCAAGGAAAGAGAGCGCTGAGCCGAAGCGGTCCCCCGCCGCGCCCTCTTGGTTTCCCCCTATATCCGCGATGCCAGAGCCCCTAGAGCGCCCGTCCCCTTGCTCCCTGAGAGGGTGACCCTTAG